CCCGTCTGCCCGCCTCTCCCACAAGGTGCTGGCGGGTCACCAGGAGGGGATTAGTGAGATCAGGAGCAAGCTCTCCTGCACGCTGCCATCGCCACGCGTGGTCCCTGTCTGCAGCCTCCCCCACCCCAGCCACGCTGCTGCCACCACTGCTGTCACACGTGCCACCACGTCCGCAAGCCGGCACACCCTCGTGTGAAACACCACCACCGGCCACGTGCTCCCTCGGACACCCCGACACCAACGCATGCCCCAAACACACCACCTTTCTCTCCTTAAGCAAGCAAGCCACGCACGATGGGATGCACGGGAGAGCAGCTGCTCGAAATCCAGCGGTGCTCCTGGCCATGGGTACCCGCAGCCCTGGAGAAGCGGCTCCCCCAGCCCACCCGAGGGGCTCGCTGGCAAGCGGAGATCCATCTTAGGGCAAAAACCAGAGAGCACGCACCCCACGGGCACACATCAGTGGGCTGTGGTTCTCAGAGCAGAGTCAATGCACAAAACCTTGGTCCCAAGCTGCGTGCAATTGCCAGCGGGAGGCAGGGGACGTCCCGGCCATCGCACTGTCATCCCACCCTCATCGGGAGCTGCTCTTTGCATGCACAAGGTAGGCAGAGCGCGGTGGGGAAGGCTGGGGGCGAGAGGGAAGCCACGAACACGTGTGCTCCCGGTGGGCATCACCTGGTAGAGCAAAGCCTTGTCCCCAGTTCGGTCCCCAATGTGCAGTGCTGGTGACAGATCCCTGTCTGCTTCCCGCAGCCACAGTGCCCGCGTAGCTGCCTCTTGGGGGTAATTAAGGGGTGTAGGGGGGAGGAACCATGTGTGCCCAGCCCCAACAGGGCTGAGGGTGGCCCAGTGCTGGTGGGGAGCACAGGGCAAGGAACCAGTGCTGGTGAAGGCAGGGAAGGGAAAACTGCAGGAAGCTAATTAAGGAAAAAAAAAAAAGGGAAAAAAAATCAATAGCTGTTCAAAAAGCGCTTGCTGAGGCTGAGTGATCCCATGAGGGATTAATCCAGCGTGCGCTCAGGCCCTTATGCAACGGATGGAAAACCCAGCATGAAATTTCTGGGGGGAAAACGGCTCTTTCACAGGGGCCCTGTGCATTCCTGGAGTGGTGGCTTCCAAACTGAGGGTGAAACGGGGAGGCGTCTGACCCTGGTGGATCAGGGCAGACGTGACGTGAAGCAATTTTTGGCCCAAAGCCCTGGTGCAAACCCGCCTGCCAGGGTCTGGTGGAGCCGTGCTGGGTGTGCTGGAGCCCAGGGCATGGCAGCACCAGGCGTCCCTGCGGAAGAGGAGCTGGTTTGCTGTGGGCAGGAGGCTGGGTTTCCTGAGGGCTATGGAAAAATAATACGGCATGAGAATATCACATAGCTCTTGTTTCTCTAAATAGGTTATTTTTCCACTGCCCCACAAAGGCCCCGGTATCGTCTCTCTTCTTATTACTCTTTGTGTCATATGCAGTTAATTATTCATCCCCTTTTCATGCTCTTTGTGCTGCTCCGCGAGCGGACACGGACCCGCTCTGCTCTCCCCTCCCTCCGGGTTCTTCCATCCCGGTGTGAGCTGCTTCAGCTTGAAGCTTCAGCCGTAACCCCAGAGGGCTCAGCGGGACCGGGCTCCTTGCAAGGCCAACGCCATGGGCCAGATGGAAGAAATTTTGGCTGCAGGTGCTCAAATTAACAACCTGAATGACCTCTGGCCCTGCTCGGGCACTTGGTCTGGGTGCAGCAAGGGGACTCCCAGGGAAGGGTTGGGATGCCCTGATTTGTACATAGTAAAGCAGGGAGAGGAGGACCTGGGCAGCCATTTCTTGTGAAGACAGTGACGCATTTATCCTCTGGGACCAGATTCCATGGCCCAGTGGTGGCCCCGTCCCTGCATGGCTGTGGCAGGGGAGCAGAGCTGGCACCCG